CTTTGTCTGTGATCCATGACTATATAAACAAGTGATTGTAAATGATTCCAAAGGTCCTTCCATCCACCCAAACACACATACATTCATCTAGGGGATAATTTTTTTAACTTGCATGGTCAATTTGATAGTTTTTAGGAGGGAAAGGTTTCTTTAGCAGTTTATGTCAGTTTCCTTCCTCAAGGCAGAAAACTTTAAATTAAAAATATCTTCAGTCTACGCAATTGCATATGGTTTTTACATTGCCTCTGAGTAATTACTTAGACTGTAATAACAAAATATTTTAAATACATTTGCATTTAAGCATATAATTAACTGTGTCCATGTAATTTGTGTTTAAAAGAAATCTGGCAACTTATTGAGGAAGCTAAGAGAAATATCAAAATCTGTTCTCAATAAAAACTATTTTTTTGAGTTTTATAAGAATGTGTGTTGGAGGAGAAATGGAATTTATGTGGTGTCAGTCATATTTTATTACAAAATTAGGGATAAATAACATAATTATCAGTGCCTCATAGAATCAGCTCATTCTGACCCACACTATTCTATTTTGCATTAGCTCTGAAGAGTAAAATTCCTTAAAGAAACTTCCAGAGTCTTCTCAGACCTGGAGAACTTAACACAGGCTTTCTATTCCTAAGCAGGATAGCCTGCCTAATGACTTTGCAACTGGAAACAAAATGTTTAGGACCACAGACTCCAGAAAAAAAGTTAGGTTAGGCTAGGTGGCCTTTACCAGTCATCTATCTAGGGAGCAGTAAGCCTAGATACGCCCAGAGGGGAAGTGAGGTTGCAGAAAACACAGTGAAAATCCAAGGAAGCTCTGCAGAGGGCGTCCTGGAGGTGAGTAAGGAACAGAGGCAGACACAAGAGCATAAAAAGCCTGTGTGCCTCTCAAGGCTGTGAAAATGGCCTGAGCCCTTAGGGGAATGAAAAGAATTCTGGGCATAGATACAAGGTTTAAAAAAAAATAAAGGGGAAAGATTTACTTCCATCTCCCAAACTAGACAAAGAGTCCTTTGGACTTGGGAAAGTGGAGACAAAAAAGTAATGAAGTAGAGGGTCCTTGAGCCCAATGTCCTGGACAGAAACATCAGGGAGGAAGCAAGAGTACAGAGAGGAAGTAGCCTCTCGGAAGGGCCCTGTGCTTGGTTTAATGCTCTGCTGCTACCTTCTTAAAAACATTCGTGATTTTATCTTTGACCTTGTGTTGTCTAAATGAAGTCTGATGGGAAAACAGAGCATATGCATGAGCAGAGGACCATTTTACAAAGGTGCATGAGCTCAGAATACCAGTGGACTCAAAGTGAGTAAGCGTGTTATGTCTGTGACCCAGTCGTCAGGGGTGATGAGGATTTTAGGCTGGTTACTTTTAAAACTACAGATGAGAAGCAGGCTCCGAGGGCTGGAATTTTGCTGGCCCTTTTGAGAGACATTTGCATTTGTGAAGGAAGTGGGGGATGAGCTTGTAGGGACCTGAAATTGGCCACCCCAAGATATGACTCTTTGGCATCGGGAGTGTTTTGGGCTGATTGCTTTTGATAAACTGGGACAGGGAAGGAGGCTCTGGGGAATGGAACTTGCCCCTGTTGGGACACATTTACATTTGTAAGGTAAATCTCTATCTGTAAAAGGTGCCTCCCTCTCTGTACCAGGAAGAAGAAGAGAGATGACCTTATCCCTAGAAACTCTTAATGGGGAAGGCAAGAACTTAAGTTGGTTGCTGTCTGGCAATCTCATGTAACTGATTTAGGGTGGTGGCTTCTGACCTTTACTTAATCCGATTTGATTCTTGTCTAAAAGTCATGGGCTCACCCAATGACCAGACCCCACCTGCACTGATACCATTTTAACTTTTTTTCATGTTCTTTCCTTTGTCTTCGTAAAGAGATGACTCACATACCTATGCCTTAAATTTAGCCCTAACCCTCAACTCGGGGCAGCAGCAGGAGCTCTGACTGCCCGTGGGTCCTGTCCCCATGCCAGCGGGGGCAGCAGAAGCGGTGGCAGCAGAAGCTCTGACTGCCCATGTGTCCTGTCCCCATGCTATTCTATTCTCTAAATAAAAGAGCACTACTGCCAGATCTTAAGGGTCTAAGAAATCTTTCTTTTGACTCCTCGGCTCACCGACCCCGCATCAGGGGCACTGACAGCCCTGAGAGTCCATGCTTCCCACAAGAACTTGCTTCTGACAAATAAAAATGGCAAGCAATAGGATATATTGGAGAATACGAGGAAGCCATTTGGTATAAACCTAATTAGGCCTGACCTTGTCTTTCCCAAAGGGCCTGACCGTGGCTGTTGAGCATGCATTGTATACCTGCTTTAGATATTCCCTATGGCAAGAACAAAGGCCCTTGAGATAAAGGTGCAACTTCCCTTCCCCTCCCAACATTGGCATCTCCTTAAGGATTAAGCATCTTTCCTTAGGCTAGGAACTGATTGCTGCGCTCACCTGTGACCGCCCAGCTCAAGACAATAGACTTGCCTCCTGCTACGCCCCCTGAGAGAGCAGTCCCACTACTTGCTGTGTCCAACAAGTGCTGTGCTGACAGGGCAATCTTATGACTATTGTGGGAGGGACATTTCAATCATATGTGAAACGTCCTGTATGGGGGTATATGACCACTCTGTATACCTCACTTCTTTGGTGCCCTTTCTTCCTTCAGGAAGAAAGGCCCCAGGCCATGGTCCTCAGATGTCAGCTCAGAATAAGCTCACCCAAATTTTCATTTATAGATTGGTTATGGATTATTTTTGTCGACACTTCAAATGCCGACAGAAGGCAATAGCATTCTAAGAAACCCGAATAACCTCAACCAAAGAACCCAATGTATGCTTTCTTACTTGCATACTTCCCTGTATTAGTCAATCAGCTATGCTGAAAATGATGACGTAGAGAAGGAAAGGGAATGACAAGATGACCCATAGTTCCCCTTCCTTTCTGTCCTTCCTTACTCATCAGTAACCTGAAGGTAGAGGGTATTGGTAAAATGTGCACATATCAAAAAAAGTGAATTAGAACGGTTGAAGTCATTTTGTGCAGAGTTTCCACTGTTCTGGTAAAAACAAAACACATATGTATGTACTAGTTGCAAATGATGAGTTGTGTCATTTAGAGATTGTGCATATGTATTAAATACTCCTATATTTGCACATAAAACTGGCATTGCACAACATAAAGATGAATGGTGAAATTCATGATAATTATTTAATATTTTAATTTTTCTTTATTTAGATTAGTATTAAGTGGCAAATAAAATACACTATGGCAAGTTGAGAGAGCAGAAAAAAAGGAAAAAGCTGTATATTTAGGACCTTTAATGGACATTTTTTTCCTGTAAATTATGTAGCTGCCTCTGGAAGTAGAAGAGTAGTTATCTGTATAGATTCTTCCAGATTCTGTGTTCTGAGGCGAGAGAGGAATCCATGGGGCTGAAGGGGAAACACAGATAGAAACGGCAGTTTGTCAGCAGCCACAAGTGTGGATGGATGACTGAAGACCAGGTGGGTCTCTCTCCCAGCATCTTAGCACTGTGACACGTCCCCAGGATCTTGACAAATGCCTGTGGAAGGAGAAGATTGTCAATAAGACTGAATTTAAAGTACTAAGTTTCCTACTGCTGCTATTACAAACTACCACACGCTTAGTAAGTTAAAACAATGCAAATGTATTATCTTGCAATTCCAGAAGTCAAAAGTCGAAAATGGGTCTTCAGAGCTGTGTTCGTTCAGAGGCTCTAGAGGAGAATCTACTTTCTTGCCTTTTCACCTTCTAGAGACCACCTATGCTCCTTGGCTGGAAGTTATTTTCTCCATCATCAAAGTTACGTAGCATCTTCTCTCTCCGCTTCCATCTTCACATTGCCTTCTCTCTTACAAGGACACTTGTGATTACACTGAGCCCATCCGGAAAATCCAGGACTATCTCTTTATTTCAAGATCCTTAATTTAATCACATCGGCAAAGTCCCTTTTTGCCATATTAGGCAACATATTCACAGATTCTAGGGGGTAGGATGTGGACATATTTGAGGGGCCGTTATTCAGCCTACCACACCTACCATCTAGTGAGCTGAGTGCTCAACACAGAAATGAAGTTTAGTTATAACAAAATAAAACTATTTGGTAAACTTGTGGGCTGAGACTTATACCCTCCACACTTCAGTTCAAACTAGGCAAAGGAAGAAAATAAAACAATTGATGAGGATTTTTAGGCTGCTTAATTTTAAAATGGCTTATGATGAGGATTTTTAGGCTGGTTAGTTTTAAAACTACAGATGAGATTCAGGCTCCAAGGAGTGGACTTTGTTTGCCCCTTTGTTGGGAAACATTTACATTTCTAAGGGAAACCTCTATCTGTGAAGATGCCTCCCTCTCTGTGCCAGGAAGAGGGGGGGATGGTCTTATCTCTAGAGGCTCTTGGTCAATGCCAGAGGCAAGAACTTAAGTTGGTTGCTGTCTGGCAATCTCATGTAACTGGTTTAGGGTGGTGGTGTCTAACCTTTCTAACCTTTACTTAATCCGATTTGATTCTTGTCTAAAAGTCATGGGATCACCCAATGACCAGACCCCACCCGCACTGATACCATTTTAACTTTTTTTCATGTTCTTTCCTTTGTCTTGTAAAGAGATGAATCATATACCTATGCCTTAAATTTAGCCCTAACCCTCAACTCGGGGCAGCAGCAGGAGCTCTGACTGCCCGTGGGTCCTGTCCCCACGCACCAGCTCTGCCTGCCCATGGGTCCTGTCCCCATGCCAGCGGGGGCAGCAGCAGCGGCTCTGCCTGCCCATGGGCTCTGTCCCCATGCCAGCGGGGGCAGCAGAAGCGGCGGCAGCAGAAGCTCTGACTGCCCATGGGTCCTGTCCCCATGCTATTCCACACTATTTTCTAAATAAAAGAGCACTACTGCCAGATCTTGAGAGTCTAAGAAATCTTTCTTTCGACTCCTCGGCTCACCGATCCCGCATCAACAATGACCATTAAAACCTTTATAAATGCAAGTGGCAAAAAGAGAGTTTGCATTTAATAGTGGAGGAGTTCTCTCCCAGTGTGATTGTTAAAAGCACTGGACAGGCGGTGCAAGGAATATTTTAAAAACTGCATTTCTTAAAAATACAATTATTTTTCAGTTCGTTTTTTATGCTACCAAATATTCCTTTGACTCTCAGTCACCACCACATAGGATAAAAAGGCACCAATATTGAGGAAAAATCAATTACACCCTTGGGCCTAAAAGTCTGGAGAGTTTATTAGGTCCATACACCTTAGAACTTGCCTTAGTCAGTCTGGGCTGCTATAACAAAGTACCACAGACTGGGTGCCTACGCATAACAGAAATTGATTTCTCATTGTTTTGGAGTCTGGAAGTCCAAGATCAGGGTGCCCACATGGTCAGGTTCTTGATGAGGGCCCTCTTCCCTGTTTGTAGATGGCCGTCTCCTCACTGTGTCCTCACATGGCAGAGCAGAGCAAGAGAGCTCTCTGGGTCCCTTTTATAAAGGCACCAATTCTATTCAAGAAGGCTCTACCCTCATAGCCTAATCACTTCCCAAAGGCCCCACCTCCTAATAGTATCACATTGAGGGTTAGGGTTTCAACATTTGAATTTTGGGAGACATGAACATTTTCTGCAAAATTCATCCTCAATTAGAAACACTGTTATTGTAAATGAATGGCCTGGCAGACACAGCGCTGTCCTGACCAGGGACTATTTCCCCCAGCCCCTTTTCCTACCACCAAACCCACTCATATCTTGTTCTGCTATCTGCTTTCCACTGTCCTTTAGGGCAGTGCTTCTCAGAGTTCAGTGTGCACATGAATTATCTGAGGATATCGCTAGAATGCAGATTCTGATTCAGCAGGAAGGGGGAAGGGCCTGAGAATCTGCATTTCTAACAAGCTCCCAGATGATATCGGTTTTGCTCCTCTGCGGACAAAGGCTTTTGGGGATGCTCACCTTATTTCCAGCTCCAAGAGGAGGATCCTGAGTAACCAACACCAAACAGGGTAACCCCTTCGCCAGTGTTTGGATTAGAAATGGGAAATGTGACACAGCTGGAGCCACTGTGATGTGAGGGTCACCCTGCAGGGTGGATTTTGAGAACTGTTTACTGCTCCTAAGTAAGCAGTGAAGAGACATTCCCTCTTCCTCTTCACCTTGCTGAGTCGGGTTTGAGTCCTAGAGCTTCTGTGGCCATGCTGGGACCATAAGGTGAGCCAGCCTGGGTGCAACGCTGCTCCACCCACGAGGGCGGAGTGGAGTTAGAAGCTCTCAGTGGAGTAAATGTTGGCCATGGAAGTCGTGCATGAGATAAAACCACACGTTTCTGTGAAAGAGATTGACATTCTGGTGACAAATATATTCATTGCCAACTTCAGAATCTTGCAGCAACTGGAAAGCATATCTGGAACTTTATGCTTTAAGATTTCTTCCTTTCAATTCATGTTCAAAAACACACGGCATATGTAAAATACATAGTTTGAAAATGCCCAGACTAGAGAAAAAAATTCCTAAAAGTGACCCACACAATCAAAACTTTGAAAATTTTGATTGCTGTCAGATATGGTGAGAAGAGTTGGTGGATATTAGTGCTTGTGGTTGTTTTAAAATAATGGCATTTATCAAGTGATTGTCATTTGTCATCATTTCTGGGGGCAAATCCAGGAGATGCTGGTAGCAAATCAGCTTTGAAAGGAAATAACTGGCTGCCTCTATCTGCACTTGAGTTGCCCACCTAGTGCGCTGTCTCTCGGGGCCTCCCTCTTGTCTGCTCCCTACTCCCTCACAGGCTCCTTCCACTGGCAGATTTGGCGCAGTGTTCCTCTATTTTGGCTGCACACTGGAATCACCTGGAAGACAGAAAAATACTGATATGTGGGCCGTATCCCCAGAGAGTCTGGTTAAGTAGTGTCTTGTTTTTTATAATTTCTTATTTTGATATAATTTCAGACTTACAGAAAGGTTGCAATAGTATAAAGAATTCCCAGATATACTTCACCCAAATCTCTCTAATTATTCTGAACCTCTTTAAGAGTGAATTGCAGGGGCAGGCCTCAGCCCGCTGGCCCAGTGGTTAAGTTCAAGCGCTCCACTTGGGTTGCCCAGGGGTTCACCACTTTGGATCCTGGGTGGGGACATGACACCTCTCATCAGGCCACGTTGAGGCGGCATCCCACATGCCACAACTAGAAGGACCCACAACTAAAATATACAACTATGTACTGGGGGGATTTGGGGAGAAAAAGGGGGGGAAAAAAAAGATTGGCAAGAGTTGTTAGCTCAGGTGCCAATCTTTAAAAAAAAAAGAAAAAAAGAGTAGGCCGCAGACACGATGCTCTGTTACCCTTGACTACTTCGTGTATTAACCCAATACGAGAATCCCATGCATAACTACAGAGTAATTATTTAAAATCAGGAAGTTAACACTACTACTTCATCTATAGACCTTATTGAGATTTCGTCACTTGTCCCAATAACATCCTGCATAGCAAAATAAAACCCACGATCAGCAGTAGTTATTTTTTAACAGCTTCCGGGTGATGCCACTGCGCAGCCGAGCGTTGGAAAACAAGAGTGCGTTCAGCTGAAGCTGGGGGCGGTCAGAAAAGGGCCGAGGGTTACAGACTCCCGGCGCCGCGGGAGCAGGTATTTGCAGGGCCGCGCGAGGCTGGGAGCCAAGACAGGGTTTGGCAGGCGCTGCGCAGATTGCTCAACTACCACCAGCGCGCGAGCCTGGGGACTCCACCAGCCGCATCGGCTGACCCTGAACTTCACCATCGCCCCTGGCCCCACCTCCCGCCCCGAAGGCGTGGAAGAGGGGTCATGAAAGGGTTGGGATGGCAGGTTTTTCTCTACAGTCCCCTATAGGCCCCAGGGTGGCAGCAGGTGCGTTCCTACAACTGAAGCCCCTTTTCTCGGTAGTCGACCGGCATGAAGGCGCCACAGCAGGGGCGTAGGGGGCCAGGGAGTCATGGCCGCGGTCCCTCCACCTCGCGAGGAGGCGAGCAGCCGGCAGGGGGCGAGCAGAGCTAGAGGGCCTGCCCGTGCGCCCAGCCAGGCAGCGTCCACCGCAACTTGCCCAGCGGAGCCTCCCCATGGGTGCCTCAACAGCCTTCTGGTGGCCGTCCACGGCAGTGAAGAGCTGCAGCCCCAAAAGCGCCTGGGGAGGAGGCAGGGAGAGACCCCAAGTGGTGGAGGGAGCCTATTCTCTGATATACACTGCCTGACCTTCACTCACCTGTTTCTGGTAGAGCCTCAGGGGAGAAATGAACAGGAATGCACGTGATACTGGTATGCTCTAGTAGCATTCGGTAGGAAACAGAATACCAGAGAGCGTGGAAGTGCATGAGGAATGGATAAGAGCAGTATTTGTTAGCCAGTAAGTATTTAGTACAAGGCCGTGGATGTCTTTTGTCTTTTGGTTTTGGTTATCTATTACTACATAACAAACTGCTCCAAAAGTTTGGGCTTAAAATGACCATTTTGTACTCACTTATTGTCATTTGTCGTCATTTCTGGGGACAGATCCAGGAGATGCTGGTAGGAAATCGGCGTTGATAACTAGCTACCTCTGTCTGAACTTAACTGCCCAATTGGCTCACTCCTATCTTCTGGCTTCCTTACTGTCTACTCTGTCCTGTATGTTGACTGGGGCTTAGAGGAATAGATTTTTATTTTATTTTAATTTTTGCTGGTCTGGGTTGGGGTTTCCTGGGCAACCTCACTCAGTCTGTGGCCAAGACTAGAACATCTCAGATGGCTTCATTCATTGGTCTGTGGGCATGGCTGGAAGGCCAGGCAGTGGGACAACCTCTCTGTCTCTCTACCTCTCTCAGGCCTCTTTCTCTGTGAGTCCTCTCCCCATATGATCCATCCATATGATGTCTGGACTTTTTCCCTGGTGGCTTAGGGCTCCCAAAACTGCAATGTTGGAAGCTGCTAACTCTGGGCTTAACCCCAGCTCTGGCATAGCATCACTTCTGCCACACCTTGTTGGTTCCACTGAGTCACAGGGCTAGCCCCATTCATTGTAGTAGGAACTACCCAACAGTCTGAATACCTGGAGGCATGGTTCCCATGGAGACCATCTTTGAAGACTAGTTACCCCTGTATTCAGGGGCCACTGATGATACCATGAAAATGAGTGTTATTGGCAACAAGTTGGAGCAAATGCTCTTGGCCATCACCCCAGTATGTAGCCACACCTCAGCAAGTAATGGTCATGTGGTGCCTCTAGGGGTTCCACATCCTAACCCTGAATTCTCAGTGTCTGTATTTCTGTATTCCAAAGGCGCTGCAGAATATGAGGTACTGTGTGAACCAGGACAGTTTGCATCTAGGAGGAAACTTGTGCAAACCGGTTTTGTGATGATGTAGGGACCTTTCCAAAGCCTGGGTGCACTCTTAACACACCTCCAAATGTTGGCCCAGCCTCTGGAGGTGGGTAGAGTGAGCTGGCGGGGAACCTTAGTATGGCTGAGGTTGAATGCCCTTACCACAATGGTAAATTGACTTAAAGAACATAGAATTAATTTATCTTTTTGAGTACTTGATTTTGTGGCTTGAGACTAGCTACAATTTCTCTGTTTTCGTAAAAGAGAAACAAACAAGAATCTTAGACTTCTTGAAGCTTTCGTGGAAACCCTGCTGTCTTTCATGTCTAGCAAGTTTTCTTGCACAACTTACTCTGCTTCTACCTAGTAGGATTAATTTTCAGAGTCCTGTGAAGAAAAGTGAAGATGAAGAATAATGAAATGTGATCTGAATAGTTCACCAATAATTTGTAGATATATCGTAAGGAGAATAATACTAGTATTGATCTCAGCCATTTCTAGACAATTAAAAATTTTAAACTGAGAGAGTCAACTAAGTTTGCTTATGGCATCTATGTCTGACGTCATCTATTCTTCTTTCTCTGTCAATAAACATTCATTTACAAAAGTGTCAGTACCTTAACTCAAATTTTAAGGTTTTAGTTATCTTTATAAACAATGCCTAGGTTATACTCATTATCTATGTTTAGGATTTACTAAGCCACATGAATATCCAGGATTTTTTTTTTTTTTTTTTGCCAACATCAAACCTTTCATCATGTTCCCAAATACGATTTAAATGCCATTGATCGTTAAAACTGGGAGGTTTTGTGAAACGACATTGTAAAAAAAAATGTAAAAGGTCAAAGCTGTCTGTTTAAGAATTCTGACTACTGGTCATTGGTCTCCAGGGGAGGTATGTGGAACCAGGGAAGGGAAGAAGCAGTAGAAATTATCCTGTCACTCTGCTTCCGCCTGACACCCACTTCTAGTCGTTGCTAGTCCGCGTTGATGCCATTTCTAAGCAATCCGGTGCTATTGCTTTTGTTGGTAAATTATCCTGTAACAATAACATCTTCTGGCTTCTCAATTAGAGCTGCTAAAGAATGACAGACTTTATTGTATAGGGCATCTCTATGAGTAGTAAATGGAACTCTCTGCTTTCCCCGGGGAAACTAAATTGTGCTGGTCTGTTCTCAGTGATAAACGGTATTATGAATCTTATTACATAGGAAATACATAAAACCTGCTTTGGATGATGGCTTTTATATGTCCAAAGAGGGTTAAACATGGTATTTAAAGCTCTTATCATGCTGCTTGAATTCTGTGTTGCATTGTAGAGTTTAAAAAATGACATAGTACGAAAATAGAAAAGAAAATAGAAGAGATTTCACAGTTTCCCAGGGTCAAGGTGGAAACAAATCAGAGAGGGAAAGAAAATTGTGTTTAAATATAGAATGTACTAAGTGAGAATTTTACTTTTATTTCAAACTTTATGCAAGTAAATTATAATTCTGCTAGGCAGATATACGTGATATAATTTGTTAAGTAAAAGATATAACTAACTTGAGAGATTTGTGCAAAACAAAATTATGAAATAAGGAATATGGTTTAGGACTTTTAAAGTGATAATTAGCTTGCAATGTGAATAAAATATGAGGTTTCCTTTAGAAAGTAAGGACTTAATATAATTTGCAAATTACTCCCATAATGAGTCCATTTACAATGAATATAACTTGCTACTCTATTTTCATAATGAACAAATGAGGTTTTAATGAATCACACTTACTTTCACACTCTGCAGAAATATGGGACAAGAGAGATTTGAATTGAAATATTTCTTATGATAGAATTAAACTGAAATATTCTTTTTTTTTAAATTTTTTTTTTGAGGAAGATTAGCCCTGAGCTAATGTCTGCTGCCAATCTTCCTCTTTTTGCTGAGGAAGACTGGCCCTGAGCTAACATCTGTGCCCATCTTCCTCTACTTTATATGTGGGACACCTGCCACAGCATGGCCTGCCAAGCGGTGCCATGTCTGCATCAGGGATCCGAACCGGTGAACCCTGGGCTGCAGAAGCGAAACATGTGCGCTTAACCACTGCACCACTGGGCTGGCCCATAAACTGAAATATTCTTTATGAACACTTTTAGGTTTTAGCATGCAGACTTCAAAAAAACGCTGTTTATTATCTTTTAAACTATATCCTTCATCAACTTGGTTTGAAAATCGGTTAACTATCATGTACAAGTAAACTAAAGTCTAGTGAAAATCACAAATACATTTGGTGGTGTTGCAAATTAAAAGAAAAATGTATATATCTTTAATCACAGAGCAAGGTCAACAATATTTCTATAGACAGTAGCAATAGTTTGATATCACATAGCTCTCACATTTTATTTAGTATGATTTGTCCATCCATTCAACAAATATTTATTGAGTGTCTACTGTGTACCACCCCTTACTTGGTACTGTGCTGGCAGAATTGCATTTGAGGAGTGGGGGCCAGTTTATCAGGTGATCCTCAGGGCATTCCCATGACTTAGGGAGGTTAGGTATGTAGTGAAGATTAAATCTGTGCTTATTTTATTCAACTCGATAGAGAGGTGCCAGGAAGTTTTCTCCATCAGAAGAGAGTAAAATTCACCTTTGATGGATTGAGGATAATTTCTGATCTTGTTCTCCAAGCCCTTCCAATCCCACCTTTACTCTCTCTCCAGAAGCATAGAATGTTCGGAAAAAGGAGGGATGGTGGTTTCTTTGTCTAAAAGTGTACTATAATGATATATTTTTCTGCCTATGATTCTAAGAAGATAAGTTTCTAGACACCAGAGAGATTGGAGATAGGGAGGGTGGTGTGGTCTTTGGGTCCTTAAAGTTACAGGACCCTAAATCCTCATCTCATCGGGGTAGTGCGTGCGCTCAGGGGAAGACTGCTGCCCATGGGCCTGAAACCACTGCCCAGGATGGAGGGCGCAGCCTCCGTGTGGTCCAGTGGTTCTCAACTGGGAGCAGTTTTGGCCCCCAGGGGGCACTTGGGAATGTCTGGAGACATTTCTGAATGTCATGACTGGAGGGAGTAGTGTTACAAGAATTGGGTAGAGGCCAGGGATGCTGCTAAACATCCTACAATTCACTGGACAGCCCCCACAACAAAAAAATTATCTGGTGCGATATGTCAATAGTGCTAATATCTGTTGCCAATCTCCCTCTTTTTGCTTGAGGAAGATTGTCTCTGAGCTAACATCTCTGCCAGTCTTCCTCTCTGTTGTACTGGGACACTACTACAGCATGGCCTGATGAGCAGTGCATAGGTCTGCACCCAGGATCCGAACCTACCAACCCCGGGCTTCTGAAGTGGAGTGCACGGAATTAACCACTACACAATTGGGCCATCATCCAGAGATGGTTTTATGTATTTCCTATGTAATAAAACTCATAATAATCCTGTTGTAACCTGAGGGCTTAAGTCCCTTCTACATAGATGTTAGCTCGGGGCCAATCTTCCTCACCAAAAAAAATAAATAAAATAAAAATATGCTTTATTTTTCAATGAACATTTTTGTCCATCATATTTTCCCAACATTTCTTATAAAAATTTTCAAATGTGCAGAGATGTTGAAAGAATTATACAGTGAACACCCAGACATTCACCTAGATATAGCAACTAATGTTTTAATAATTTACTTGTCTTATCACATATCCATCCAGCTATCCCTGCCTTTATTCATCCATCAATACATCATATTTTTGATGTATTTCATAGTAAGTTGCAGTGCACTTCTCTCTACATACTTCAGCATGCATATCATTAGCTAGAACTCAGTGTTTGTTTACAATTCAAACATGCTTTTTATTAGCACTATCTTGTTATTCAACGCAAAATGCCTGAAATGTAAACATGAGTTCCATCGTATGGATCTACCACTGATTTCCTTATGTAGCTTGTTCAGGTAGGATCCAGATAGAAGTCTGACCTCTAAAACAGTGGTTGCTGTAAGACTTTTCCTTAAGGGATACCCTCTTTAGTCACTTTACAGTTAACTCTTGTTAATCAAAGGGTCGGTTGGTAGAGCCATTGTTCATTCTCTCTAATGATACATTCCCATTCCAAACTGAGAAACATAACAGACTCATGGGATTGTCAGTTGGCCAGTTAGGTTTGGACTGAGAGAAAGGAGGTTTACACATCCAGACAGCACTCAAGGAAGTCTTCTCTGGGGCTTTGAAAATCGTCACTCTTGGGTTTGGTAACATTTCCAGCGTGTACACAAGGCCCTTCTGGAATGAGGGCAGGAACTTCATCTCTTTTGTTCACAATTATCCCCAAAGC